GTTGGGGGAGATTTTAACATTATTCGAAGAAGGAAGGAGAAGAATAATGATAATTTTGACGGCAGGTGGTCGTTTATGTTCAACACCATAATCGAAAGCTTGGATCTTAGAGAGATGGAGCTATCTGGTAGGAAATTTACTTGGGATAATTCGCTACCTAACCCGACTTTTGAGAAGCTGGACCGTGTCCTTACGAGTGTCGAATGGGAACAGAAGTTCCCTCTCGTAACTGTCCAGGCGTTATCGCGCGGAATTTCGGATCACACTCCGTTGCTAGTTGACTCTGGCGATCCATCTCATGTGGGGAATAAGAACACCTTTTCTTTTGAGCTCTCGTGGTTTGATAGAGAAGGGTTCTTTGAGATGGTCACTAGAGAATGGGCTAAAGACGCAGGAGGAAGGTCTCCTATCGAGAGATGGCAGAACAAGATTAGGCATCTGCGAAGATTCTTTCGTGGATGGGCTAAACATACGCATGGGATTTATAAGGCTAAGAAGGAGATACTCCTTTTACTTATTCAGTCCCTAGACTTAAAAGCCGAATCTACTATTTTAGATACCAGAGAGTTGGAAACTAAGATAGAGGCGGAATTGAGACTGAAACATCTCCTTTGGGAGGAGGAATTTAAGTGGGCTTTGCGAGCTAAGGTTCGCAAAATCGTCCAAGGGGATGATAACACTCAGTTCTTTCACATGATTGCAAATGGCAAGCACCGCAAGAAGCGGATATTTCATCTTGAGCAGGAAGAGGGGACGATTTTAGGTCAAGATAATCTGAAAGTCTATATCACCAATTACTATAAGCAGCTGTTTGGGCCGCCGGAAGATAACTTTGTGTCCTTAGATGAGTCCAGGGTTGAGGATGTTCCTCAACTTGCGTCGGACGAGAATGAGGTCTTAGCTGCCCCATTTACGGAGAAAGAGGTCTTTGAGGCTATTTCACAAATGAAGAACAATAAGGCTCCCGGGCCGGATGGATTCCCGGTGGAGTTTTATAAAAAATGTTGGTATATCATCAAACGGGATTTACTTCCTTTGTTCCATGATCTTTTCTCTGGACAGCTTCAGTTGTTTCAACTTAATTTTGGAATGGTTACTTTGCTTCCCAAGAAGACAGAGGCCCTTCATATTGAGCAGTTCAGGCCGATCTGTCTTCTTAATGTAAGTTTCAAAATATCCACCAAGGTCGGGACTAATAGGCTTACGCAAATTGCGCACTCTGTCGTGTAGCGTCCCAAACTGCTTTTATGCCAGACAGAAACATCCTGGAAGGGGTTGTAGTTCTGCATCAAACACTCCATGAAATCCACTCAAAAAAACTAGATGGTGTAGTTTTCAAAGTGGACTTTGAGAAAGCATACGATAAGGTCAAATGGCCCTTCCTTCAACAGGCTTTGCATATGAAAGGCTTTGATCAGGCCTGGAGACACCAGGTAGACTCCTTCACGCAAAAAGGGAGTGTTGGAATTAAAGTAAATGATGACATAGGTCACTATTTCCAAACACACAAAGGACTGAGGCAAGGGGATCTGATGTCTCCTATTCTCTTCAACATAGTGGCCGATATGTTGGCAATTCTTATAGGAAGGGCTAAGGACGTGGGTCAGGTAGGAGGCCTCATCCCACACTTAGTAGATGGGGGTGTTTCCATTCTACAGTATGCCGATGATACTATCATTTTCATGGAGCATGACTTGGCAAAAGCACGAAACATGAAGCTAGTGTTATGCTTGTTCGAACAATTGTCCGGATTAAAGATTAACTTCCACAAGAGTGAGTTGTTCTGTTTCGGAAGAGCTATTGATGAACAAGATGCATACAAGCAATTGTTTGGGTGTGAATTGGGGGCTTTACCTTTTACATATTTAGGTATACCAATTCACCATCGTAAGCTAACCAATAGAGAATGGAAGTGCATTGAGGATCGGTTTGAGAAGAAATTGAGCTGCTGGAAAGGCAAGCTGATGTCATACGGAGGACGGTTAATTCTCATTAATTCGGTCCTCACAAGTATGCCCATGTTTCTTCTCTCGTTTTTCAAGGTTCCTGTGGGAGTCCGGAAGAGGCTAGACTTCTATCGATCACGTTTCTTTTGGTAGAGTGATGAACTTAAGTGAAAATACAGACTTGCTAAATGGGATATCATCTGTAGGCCGAAAGACCAAGGGGGTCTAGGTATTGAGAATCTGGAAGTGAAGAACAGATGTCTCCTTAGCAAGTGGTTGTTTAAGCTTTCTGTCGAGACGAAAGCCACTTGGGCTCAAATTTTGCGGAACAAGTACCTTCATTCAAGAACTTTGTCCCAGGTGACAGTAAGGCCGACTGATTTGCCATTTTGGAAAGGACTGATGAGAGTTAAACCACTCTTCTTCAATAGGACAAAATTCATACTTGGAAACGGTACTGCTACGAGGTTCTGGGAGGATACATGGCTAGGGGAGACGCCCCTCGCGCTCCAATATCCTTTTCTGTATAACATTGTTCAGCGTAGAGATGCTTACGTTGCAACAGTTATGCAGTCCATTCCGCTTAATATTCAATTTAGGAGGACGCTAGCGGGAGCCCGTTGGGAAGTTTGGCTCAATCTTGTTCGAAGATTAATGGATATTCAGCTGTCCCAACAGCCCGACCAGTTATGTTGGAAACTAATTAAGAATGGTGAATTCTCGGTGAGATTCATGTATTTGAATGTTATCAACTCTAGTGTGCTTCCTAGATCGAAACATGTTTGCAAAGTTAAAGTTCCTTTGAAAATCAAAGTGTTTATGTGGTTCGTGCATAAGCAATTTATTTTAACTAAGGATAATTTGGCAAAACGTAATTGGACAGGATCTACCAGATGTAGTTTCTGCGACCAACACGAATCAATCAAACATCTATTTCTGGATTGTCCTATGGCAAAAATTATGTGGCGGTCGGTCCATATAGCTTTTAACATTACTCCACCGAATTTTATCAATACGTTATTTGGGACGTGGCTTGATGGGATAAATTATGATATAGCGAGACACATTCGTGTAGGAGTGTGTGCTTTATTATGGGCTGTCTGGAATTGCAGAAATGATTTGGTTTTTAAGAGAACAACAAATACCAACTTTTTGCAGGTTATGTTTAGAGCCACTGCATTGATCCGTATGTGGTCGTTACTCACTCCGACGAAGGCCAGGGAGTGTTTGGTTACTGGGTCTATCCGATGGGAGACGGTAGCACGGGATATTTTCAACCGGTTTGGATGACGATCATGTAATAGGATAGTCATGTAATGGGATATTTTCAACCTGACATTATCTTTTTATGCCAGCCGGTTGTGGCTTTGTCTTTTTTTATTTTAGCTCTTTTGGAGCCTTTTTTTCTTTCGTTGTCTGAGACTTGGAGACTTCTGTTGGATATTTTGCTTATTAATAATATTGGCCGTATGCATCATTCAGATGCAGAGGCTGTGGCATACCCTCTTTTTGAAAAAAAATAACCTCTTTCTATTTTAACACAGTATTTCGTGGAGTCTACTGCATCTGCACCCTCCACCAGAGGCACCAAATCTGCCTTTTTAGCAGTATCCCTGGCGCTGGTGCCAGCGAAGCCCTTCTGCCGCCTGTCGTGTGCGCGGTGCGCCGCTCTCCCCACCACGCGTGGCCGGCCGGCGACCACCGGAGGTGATTCACTGATTCGGTCGGCGTCGCTGCCGGCCAGGACGGGAGGATCAAAATGATCAGACCAGGAGACCGGCAGCGCCGGCCGGTGGTGGAGTCGGATCTTTATCCTCATCTTTATCACACTCTTCCTGGGTGCTCTGCTCTGCTCTATCTGTTGCTGCAGGGATCGCAACATGTCTTCCTTCCATGCCATGCCGCTGCTGCGTCGAGGTCGCCTGCTTTGCTTTGCTTTGCTTTCCGGTTAGTTACGCCACGCATCATGAGCACTCAGCAGGGTAATCACGCAGGCCCCGGCTGGAGCACACACATTTTGCCTGCCTGCGTCTGCATGTGATCCGATTCATGAGCAAAGCGGCCACGATCTGCGCGGATCTCCGCTCGCGGTTGCGCTGTCAGCGTCGCCCCCTCACGCTCACCGGCTTGATCGCTTCGCCTTTCGCCATCGCGGCCGGCTCTTTTTGGATGGGTTCGCGAGGAAGGCACGGGGGAGAGAGTGACAGACGGTCCATGATAGATCTCAATCCTCTTAATTTCGGCCGGCCGCGTGATCTCGAACCAGAGGAAAAAGATTGGCGCGTGATGGTTACTGGTTTACCACGCGTCCGCGATCTATCCGTCGACGGAATAGTTGAGTACAGCGGCCATGTGTGAGTGACAGAGTGAGCCTATGCG